CCAAAATTTATTATTATTTGTATTGTGGTAGCACCTAGGAGCTTCAGACTTGGACCAGGACCCCATTGTAATAGGCACTGTACAAACACAAAACAAAAAGATGATCCCTGCACCAAACACCTTCTAGTCTAAATAATGAGCTGAGAAGACATCTAAGGGGATTCGTAAAACAGTGGTGCAGTCAGTGGGAGTTTAGCTAATACATGCTACCATCACTCCTTGAACCCTATTTTAGACAAAGCATTTAACAGAACAGTAAGACCTATCCTCACACCTCTGTATGCTAATCATCATGCACAAAATAAAGGGCCAGTTTATCAGCTGGTGCAAATCAGCAAAGCTCCATGTCAATCAACTAAAATTAATGGAGTTGCACCAGTTTACATCATCTGGAGTTCTCCCCACCCTTTGCAGTTTTCTGTACGTGTATATATTTGTCTTGTTTGTACTTTTTAGTGTATTTTCTTTTATATGTTTTACTGTTTACTGTGGGGGTGAATATGAGTTATCCTGCTTGCCTGGTATCTCACGTTATAGGATGCTTTCACTGCAGCATGTTACAATACACATTTTTCAAGGCAGGATTTAACCATAAGACATGCATATTTATATATTATCTGAACCAGGAAGCAGAATGCATTCCTCTTGCCAAAAAACAGATGCATGTATATGTTTTATGTACACATGCTGTTTTGACGAAAAACAAAGTTTCTTCCCTTCCTATCTTAAATGTTGGGGTATTTTTTAGAATACTATTTACTATAGTTTCAGGCATTCACTTTTATAGCATATTCTGCCAAATGAACATGAGGTTAAGGGGAGCTTTGGCTCGGACAGACACACTGCACCTCAGCAACACAGCTGTCGGCAAGATAACGGAATGTCTTCCTTTTTCTATGTTCATGTACTATGGACGCTACACTGAGCAGAGCTTTATCACTTATTTCAGCAGGAACAGGATTGCAACCTTTTTCTTCATTTGGGGAGTTAGGTAGGGGAAATATATTTCTCTTCAATCTTCCTCTGGTAAGTTTTCTGTGTGAACTGATGGATTTAGCCAATGTGAGGTTAATGCTGTGATCTGTGACTCAGACTGTAGAGCTCTCGAGTCATTGATCACACCAAATTGCTCACAGCTATTCTGTACCTTTAGTAGTGCAGTGTGTCACATACCACCGCTCTTCACCAGGATTGGAATTTGGAATGCCTCTTCTCCCCATCCACCCGGCGGAAGCTCATTCAATGTCTCTCTGTGGGGGTTGCAGTCAGCCCAGGTTACATTTACTCACCGTGTGGAGGTTCTACATATTCTACTCTAAAAAGCTGCTATTTTGCTGCACTCCTGCTAAGGCAGAAGGAAAGTCGCAGTACAAAAGACATGTGCTGTGCAGCACTGGTTCAGGTGCTCTCCACTGCATTGCTCAGTTGCTCCTGCCATCCTCTCTAAACATAATACCTCACCTGAGTAAGTGTAGTGTTGTTGTTATAAATGAAAATATAAAACCAGCTCAAGGGGGAAGGAGAAAAGTTAAGAAGTATCAGGTTACAGAATATGTAAACACTGAGTGACTTCCTACTTTTCAGTTCAGTGTGTCAGCCCTGCTCCAAAGCTAGAAATAAGAGGAGTTGAGTTATTTAAAAATAACTGCAGTGGAATCATCTTATAACTAAGTTACTTTTCCTGCCACAGAGCAACCTCAGCATAAGCACACGTTCACTATTACCGGATTTTCAATTTGTGCCTTGCAAAGCATTGAAAAACTCAAGCCTTTCATTTTAATTGATTATGAATGGAATTTCACTGTATGCAGGCTCCAAAGTACTATTAGGAGGCCAGTTCATTGAACCCCAAACCTGACCCCAGGACCCAGCCCGAGTAGTGATGCTGGGCCCGGGGTAGATAAATTGGGGGTGGGAGGAAAGGAATCCTTCTTATAGGCCTTGGAGCAACTGTGGCGGCGATGCCATAAAGGCTTCCACAGGGCTTTACATGCCTCATCCCTTACTGTACATAGGGACAGTTCAAATAGTTGTAGTTTCTCTGGCTCTGCTTCTTGTTGTCCACCCAGGACTCTGTGCTGCAAAGAGGGTGTGCAACAAATGCAACCAGCTGCCAGGGGTCCCCCTGTAGCAGTAGGGGAGGGGCAGGATTTGTCCCTCTAAGCATAATGCTGTGTATTAAAATGAAAGAATATTGAAATTATTAGAGCTCAGAATACACTGACAGCTTTTACTTACACATCATAGTTTAACCTTATTTAAAAAAGGTCTTGATGTTTTAATTGTTTAGCTGGGAGCATCATTTTTTGTTGACACTCTCTTTTTGCTTTTCATTTCCCTCATTTCCTTAGAGCCATAGGAAGTTGGTCAGTTGTGTATAAAACTTAAATAGGTAAATAGACTTATTTTAAGTACATTCTGCATTTTGTGTTTCTTATTCTGAAAACCTTTATAACTGGCACAAACCTTTTCCTCCTACCCCCCTTTTAATACAACTGAGTTGTTTTCTGGGCAGTAGTATATCACCAGTTTGGAATGTTTTAGGAGCTTTTAACATTCTTTACGAAATAATATGCCCATATTTTCCAAAACAAAAATATCTCATCTCCAATGTAATAAAATCAGGCAACCAGTCACCTTACATGGTCACAAAGTGAAGAAATGAATATAGCAACCATGTCAGAACAGTGGAAATAGCCGGTGAGTTCTGTCAACGAGAATAGCAATCTTTACTTATCCGTAACTTTCCATATAGTTCACACTTGTGTTTGAGAGTATTCTTAAATTATCTGAAAAAAGTCATGGTAGAGAAAAATGGCAGATTATCAAAAACACATATCTGTATTTGGCATCCATTTAAAATTCTTTTAAAGTCCAATGGAGTGAGAAAATGCACTGAGTAGAAGTGGCTCTCTTCAGTACTAAAGATAACATGATAGCTAGTTACTCAGCTCTAAAACTATAAGGACAAAGGACTTTACCATTACTTAAATACAAGGTATATGTGACCATATGCCTACATGAGTAAATTGTTAATAGCAAATAACATAATATGTAATCTGACATATGACATGGAATACAAATGATCCAAACATCTCACCGTTCAGAATATTAAGGGCCTTATTCTACCCTACTGTTTTAAAACACTTGGGAAGGGCTCTAAAATTCCTATGAGGTTCAATGAGATGATTTTCTGCAGAATGCTCCATTTAAGGAGGAGGGGCTTCTGGTCTTGTGGTGTGGCAAGGGATATAACCATCAAAATCCACCTTGCTGAGGTTCCTTAGGGTAAAAGAAGCTTAGATCACACAGGGCCCGGGTCCCTGCACAGAGGCTCTAACCCTCTCTATTGTTGTCTGTCCCCTTCTCCCACTTTAGTATCAATGGCTGTCCACGTCTTTTGTGGTTTATTTGCCCCATTTTGCACTGTTTACACTTTCCTCTCTTCGCATAGTGGACGTACTGTACAGCCATGAGTAAAACTGACATACCGGCAATCTATAGCAACAAATATAAGCAAACTTTAAATGTTTGAAGATTAACCATGACAATATCACAGGTCTGTTAACCTCAAATTTTTCTTATATTAACAGCAACAATCACGTTTATAATTGGTGCTGATTTACTTGTTCCAGGAGTTGTTGTTTATTAGTTTATATCCATAATGCTACCTAGTTACCAACCTATTGAACATTAGCACTTAAATATTGCATTATACCTTCAAAGCATGCCTAAGCCAAACAAAGGGACCCATCTTTAAACCTATAGAGTCTCATTCATCTCTTTGCAGGATTGTAGCTTTTGTTAGTATTCATGTTTGCACTGTGCTTTGAAAATCCAAAGTGATAATGTCAATATGATTGTTAAGATGACAGCAAGGTGAAATTATATATATATAAATAAACTGTATTTTTAGGCTGCAGCAAAACCTATAACACTAGAAAACTAGACTATATTTTAATCTAAAATCTGTTTGCACATGGCACTCTTGTTTATTAGTGTATATTAGTAACAGTAATTATATTACTAATATACACTAATAAACAAGAGTGTCATGTGCAAATAGATTAAAGATTAAAATATAGTCTAGTTTTCTAGTGTTATAGGTTTTGTTGCAGCCTAAAAATACAGTTTATTAATAGTAAATTAAATGTATTATTATTGTTTGTTATTACTGATACAATATTTCAGAAACCTAATATCTAACAATATCTATTTCATTAAAATGAACTGAAATGTGTAGTATGTTTCAATGGGAGGTAGACACCTAGCTTTTTATTTTTTTTTTAATCCCCAGTCTACATGTAAGTGTCTTCTAAATGTTGAGAGTAGAACTCACCCACTTCTTGGTATACTCTTGAATGTCAGAATTCAATAGGTAAACTTTTACAGTGACAATTATTTCTTCTGTAATATCTGACATTTTGAATGAACTCAAATCCATAATAGTCAACATTTGAATGGTCCCAGTGGAAGCATCTGGTTTCAGCTGTGCCAGTGGTACTTTAAAGGCTTTATAAAGTCAGCTGGCAGCACACCCAATCTCCAGGCATTAAATTTTATTGCAAAAGAGCTAAGAGAAACTGAACACTTCTGTTTCTGTTATCTTTCTTACGTGGATGGGCTTCCAAAACCACAGACAATGATTTTAAAAAGGTCTCTGTGTGTTAGTGTTACCAGCTGCCACAACATAATTCAAATTTGAGCATTTATCTTGTAAATCTTGTATAGTTTCTCTCTTACCTGATATAGGTTTTTTGAAACAGATTTATTGCCAGACTGCATGAAGGTACTTGATAGTGTTGCAAACTGAAAAATCCATGACATTTCTCGTGCAAAGTCAAAGACTACAAATTGTTTATTTTAAATTAGGCAAAACTTCAAAGTTTTATGTTCAGTTAGTCAACATTAAGATATTAGTATGTTTTAAGTCATGTTTTGAGAATCACTTGTTCAAAGACCTAACTTTTCAGTGACATTCAGAATCTTTTCTCTTGCAGCCATTTCGTAGAGTGACGTTTTCTGTTGTGAGTCAGCCTCAGGACCCACATCAAGGGTCATTGCAGAGTTGCTATGACAGCGGTCTGGAGGAGTCAGAAACACCAAGCAGTAAGAGTTCATCAGGGCCAAGACTGGGTGCCCTTCCACTCCCAGAGGACAACTACGAAAGGACTACGCCGGATGGCAGTGTTGGTGAGGCAGAGCATATGGAAAATGGTAGGGGCAAACACGACATTCACACACATAATCACACTAGTGAGCCATAATAAGTAGACATGTGGAAAGGTCAGTCCAAAATAATAAAATAAAATAGCTTAAATTATAACTATTTTATTTTAAATGGTAACATTTGTTAAAATGCAGCTATACAAAATAATGGAACATAACCATACAAATAAAATCAGCAGCATTTTTTTACATTATTTTAAAATTACATTGCTGAAACAGTTAAATAATTAAAAAAATATCAGTGCAGGGGCTGGGTTCAAGGAAATTAAATTGCATACACAATATTTTTTTTAACAAAAAGTACTGATAAGGGACCTGTGTTCTCTTTTTTACTTCCATTTTTTTTTATTTGTCATACAATCATTGATTATGACATTTTCCTGAAATTGAATTTGTGCAGCATCAGCATAAAGAAAATAGGAATTAAAAATCTCCTTCTAGAGTCTTCCCTTTCCCCCAATATTACGTAACATGTTTTCAAAACAATATTGAGGTTTCTACCCCATGTTGAATTATTTAGAAAAGGAAAGCACTGTTTTATTTTTTGCTCCACGGTATATTGAGAAAAATACTTTTCGAATATATCATTTAAATTAAGGATTTTTTTAGAAATATGGGGATGGGGTGGGGAATGCATCCTGATTTGCAGTATGAGTAATTCTTCAGCAATTACAAAATTATGGTAATTAAATACTTAGTAGTTTTCAATTTTCTTTTGTGTCTATAATTAGAAAATAGTGGACTTTAAAATACTTTTTATAATAGATCTTAAATAAGTTATTGTTCCACACCTATTAACCCTTATTTAAAGCTCTGTGAAGTCAATGGACATTGACTTCAGTGGGCTTTGAGTGATACCCTTAAACTATATAGTAGATTACTTCATGTCAAAGACTACTGCATGTCAAAGAGTACATAGTGCTGACGTGTGAAATGAGGAGTTTGCTAATCAAGTTTGTATAGTAGTGTATGTGAGTGTCATCAGCTCCTCAAACCCAGTATAGATTTGGTTTGGCTTTGTGCATGACTTTAGCTTCTTTCAAAGGCTTAGATCAGCAATTAAAAATTGTTCTTGTTTTATTCCTAAAATAGACATATTGACCCAATAAAAATAGATCATTCTCTGTGGTCAGGAAATTGACATGTCTAATGTATATGAGGAAGAAGGACTGCAGCAGTCTGCATTTGCGGAAGGTCTGCATTTCAGCAATGCATGGCTATTTCAAGTCATACAGATTAATGGACCCCCCCCAGTGGAAATAATAATAATCATAAGTTCAGTTATCATTTGCCCATTTATAGATGTGTGTGTATTAAAATTTCTTTTTAGAAGGTAGAAAAAATGAAAGCTTTTGGGAGCCTGCTTCCTAAGTTGTTATTTATTTGTATTTTTGTTAATTTAAGGGTGAAATTTAGTGCTTAGGAAAATGAGGCTAAAGCACTGGCTATATCCAGGTAGATACAGTGCAATGAAGGCAAGTATTTTTGAGATTTAATTGAATAAGTTCACAGTTCTTCAGAAACTGTCTGAGTCACAATATGTATAAAGCAATATATAAACGCAGAATCTTGGATGAACTGTAGGACTATGATTTATCCTAACCTTTGATATACTCTTCAGTAGATAATGAAAGTGATTTTATCCAAATTTATTCTCAGAAATTCCAACATACAGTGGACTCTAGTTTGCTTAAATTTTGGAAATTGTGGGGCAACTGCCATTATAGTGCATTAATTATTAAACTTTAAAATGAAATTAGGCTATTTTTTGGACGTTGAAAGTAACTTTTCTTTGTTAGGATTACATACTTACCCTTTGAAATTAGACAGATTTCAGAATAAGTAGAAGCACAACCAGATCAAACTACTAAATTTATGTATTATGTCATGAACACCTCCAAAACAAGAGTAGCATGATAAAGTCTCAAATGGTATAATGCAAGGATTACAGACAGTAAGGGAGATTTTTTGTCATATTCACAAAATCTTGAACTGAACCCCGTGAAAAGTGGGTGACATTGCAATGAAAATTATACTCTACTGACTTTTGAATTCTGCTGCCACTTTTAAAAACAGGATTTAGACAGTGGCATGTCACCTGCCTCCAGTAATTTTTGTTAGCATTAGTCAATAGGTGATGACAGAACAAGATTCAATGCACTTTTGGTCGTCTATAAATGTAACATTTGACATTTGAGTGAATGCTTTCTCTGATCCAAATTTTAAGATGACTTGTCTAGCTACACAGAACAATTGTATTGCTCAAATTCTGGTAATTTAATCTTTAATATTAATGGATCATTCTGACATAAATAGAATTGGAATTGAAACCTGTCAGGTATTCATGTGTCATATTTAACTGGAATCTCGGTAACCTGCAGTGTTTTGGTTGGTTAGGTTTTAATCAGGATTTGTATTGGATTTTCATTTGGATTTTCCATGGAAACAGCACTTTGAAAGCTATCTTAGTTTTTAATTGTTATTACTTCAAATATTTACCATTTAATTTCAACTAGTGCGAAGCAATGCAGTTATAACTAATTACTTTGGATTTACTTTCATTTTAAAGTTTGAGAAGATAATTTTCAGTACAGTAATGTAAAACCTTCTGATACCTTTGATACAGTCTCTGTGCAAGATAGCAACACTAATGAAAATAAGGAACCTTTCATGTTTCAGCAAGTGGAAGAAGGCTGAATCTCCTGCAGCCAGAGTAAATATCGGTAATGAAATGCAACTTCCCAAATTGGTGGGTTAGATGTCTCTTTCTACTTTTTCGGGTTAGCATAAAACAGAGAATTGAAACACTAGCACAAGTGGGTTGGTTTTCTTTATAATCAACTGCACAGTATATTACCAGCCTGCATGAATGTCAGATGTAGATGGAGTTTTGTTTGCATTGTTAGATGTGGTGTCAGCTGTGCCAACTGGGGTGGGGTGGAAGAAAAGTTAGCAGACTATCTATGAAAATGCAGTATGAAAAGATTTGCTAATTCGTAAGATCTGGAGAACCAGAAATAACTTCTGAGTCTTTTCCCCCTGCCCTTGCAGCTTTCTTTACAAAGAAACCCTACTCATTTGTGCAATCTTGTCCAACAAACATCAATTGTTTCTCTAATGTGGTCATTAAAAAGACATTCTTTTAACAGAAATTGCACACCGCTTTTCTCAAGAGGACATATTATTTTTCTTTCCAACATGATTTTTATATTGTGACTATAGACATTGCCATACTGGATCAGACTCCTGGTCTATCAAGCACAGTATTTTGATTCTGACAGTGACCAGTAGGTACCAGATACTTCATAGGCATGTGCAAGAAACCACATAATAGAAAATTGTGGAATAACTTTCTCTCCTGACCTCTATTAGGCCTGGTCTACATTAGAAAATTAGATTAGTTTAAGTACATCAGTCAGGGGTATGTAAAATCCTCACCCCTGAGCAGTGTAGTTAAGATGACCTAACTCCCTGTGTTAGGTAAATGTTAGGTAAATGGAAGATTTTTTCTGTCAACCTAGGCACCACCTCTCAGGGAGGTGTATTACCTACGCTGATGGGAGAAACACCCCCCCCCCCATTGTTTTCTGTAGTGTCTACACTTAAGTGAAGACAAGCCCTTAGGTAGTTGTCTGCTTATGCCCTGAATCATGAAGGTTTATATTTTCTAAAAGATTATTCATCCTATCTCATTTCATTACAACTGTTGTCACTGTGCATACATGCAATTTTATGAATTCTACAAAATTATTGGCCTCAGTGATCTCTTGTGGCAGTGTGTTCCACAAGTTAATTATCAGTTGTGTAAAAAACTATTCATTTTTATCAATTTTATGTTTGTTTTCTTTAAACCACACTGAATATCCCATTGTTCTTGTATTATGAGAGACAGTAAATAAAGGTGCTCAATTTACCTTTTCTATCCTTATTTTTATACCTTTATCATGTGGCCTCATATTTATTTCTTCTCTGAACTACATTCACAGCCTTTCCAATCTTTCCTCATAGATAAAGTCTTGTTGTGCATCTAATAACTTTTGTTGCCTGTCTCTGAACTTTAATATCTGCTTGATGTTTTCTGAGATAGGGCTGACCAGAACTGAACACAGTATTCCAGGTGAGGGCATCACAATATTTTCAGTATTATTTTCTATCCCATTTTTTACACATGCTGTCATTAGGACAATACTTTTCATTGACATGTCTGTAATGATGCCCATGTCTTTTTCCGTGGGGCTAATTTAGAACCCGACAGTGTGTATGATTAGTTCAAATAAATCCTTCTGATGTGCACAACCCTGCTTTTGTAAACAAAACATTTCATCTTTCAACTTGTTGTCTAGTAAAATAGCTTTGGTAGGCCCATCTGAAGTTCCTCACAGTCCTCTCTAGTCACAATTAAACAAAATAATTTATATTTATATAAAATTATAATTTGCTTTTTTATATATATATTATATATATAATATATAATATATATATTAGCACCTTTCATCCAAGGACAAGGAAGCAAAGTATAACCATTCTTTAAGTCTCACAATGAGCTTTTCAGAGGATAGCTGTGGCCCACTAGGTTGAACATAGGACTGGGAGTTAAGAGACTTAAGTTCTGTTTCTGTCTCTACCACTGACTTAGTCTAGTCACTCAGGGTATGTCTACACTACGGAATAAGGTCGAATTTATAGAAGTTTTTTTAGAAATCGGTTTTATATATTCGAGTGTGTGTGTCCCCACAAGAAGATGCTCTAAGTGCAGTAACTCGGTGGAGTGCTTCCAGAGTACCGAGGCAAGCGTCGACTTCCAGAGCGTTGCACTGTGGATAGCTATCCCACAGTTCCCGCAGTCTCCGCTGCCCATTGGAATTCTGGGTTGAGATCCCAATGCCTGATGGGGCTAAAACATTGTCGCGGGTGGTTCTGGGTACATATCGTCAGGCCCCCTTCCCTCCCTCCCTCCGTGAAAGCAAGGGCAGACAATCGTTTCGCGC